GGTCGGCGTGGCCGGGCAGACCGGGAGCGGAGACGCGGCGTCTCGATGTGGCGAACGGGATGAGAGTCCCACGTGTAGAACCGGAGCTCTATGGGGTTCAGCTACGGGCACCCCCACTTCGCGGTGGGCTTGGGGCATGTCCACGCGTGGCGTTCCTCCAGGTGGGGGGGGGGAGACGACGTGGGGGAAATCCGCTTCCCTCGGTGGAGAATTTCACGTGTTGGTGGGAGAAGCGGCACTGGAGGTTTTATTATTATTTTTAAAGCGAAAAAAAGGGCTGTCAACAGAAGCACTGACTGTGTAAAATAATTTGTTTTTCGTATAACCTGCATGGAAGAAGCTTTCCTTGAAGGAGCAAGGTATGTTACTTCATGGTACATCTCACTTTAATCGAAAAGGTGATGCTGCAGAGCAGGTCGGCTGCCGTGTGTCCACTTAGCTTTCGTGCTGGTCACATTCCAGTAAAGGCAGTGTCTCTCTGCACTTCCTTATCCTGGGAAGCATTTCCGTGCAAGCTGCTATGTGCTCCGTGACGCTTCTTCACAAGCTCAGGAATCCTGCAAGAAGGTATTCAGTAACTATTCAGAGCACACATTGAAGGGCTCAGATGGTCTCTACCTTAAACTTGTTTTATTAAACTTCACCTCAGGTGAACAGTCAACCTGAAAGTATCTGGAGTATATACATCCTGTTTATGTTGAAGTAATCCTGTTTTCTTTAGAACATGACATTTCTGTGAAATAGTATATACCTTGGGTAAAGTATGTGAAATCCACCCCATGTGTTGGGGGAGGGACGGCTTTCTAAAATGCATTTTTAGTATATCAGCAGTTTAGCTTATTTGATACACTGTGAGAAGTATTTCAAAATGCTTAACACGCATATTGTCAATCCAGAGGATGATGATATTGTCTCTTTTTTATTAGTTGAGCAGGTTAATCCTGGAACTTTGAAAACTCCCAGAACATTTGAAGAGTGTGGCAGAAAGGGTTAGTTTTAGATTAGCCTTAACCTGTTCATTTGTCAGGTAACTTTAGGGGGGGGACTGTTGGGAAAAGATACTTATGTTAATTGCAGGCCTCTGTAGGTTTTTCACTCTTAAATAAACTGAAACTGGCATGTGAAAATGGGGTTAGTCTATCCTGTGTGACATAAAACTTAACCTAACATAGCGCACTGCTGCGGTACCGTAAGTCAAGCACAGGTGTTTTCTGAGTGGTTTTTAAAAACTAACTCTTTTCTAGAGACCTACTCCTAAGAGCCACTGATGCTCTGATTTAACCTGGTTTAGGGTTGTATGGAAAATTGGCTTAATTAGACAGCATTTGGCTACCTTTCAGTGCTTTCTAATTATTCCAGTAGTTTGAATGCTATCCGCTGCTTGAAAGTTGGTACATTTTCAAGTGGAGCTTGAAAACATACTGCTTTTTGGAGTAATTATGCCGTTAACTTTTATAATTCATTCATTTGTCCTTAGACTAAACCTGTGATAGTTCTGCCAAATTTATTTTATTGAATGTGTGTTTTCTGACATTATTTAGTTTTTTTAAATTTTTATTCCTGGAGAGTTGACATCTCTAGGTAGTGCTAGTGCCTGGTGTTCAAGAGTAAAACTGTGCCAATAAGAGATCTATAAATGGTGTTTGGCCAAGTTGCACCTACACTAAGTATGTTTTGGGCTGCTGCCTTGTTAATGAGGGCCGTGTGTTAACAGGGGAATATTAGAAATTAAGTTTTTAACTGCAGACCCTTGAATTACTGATGCAGTGGTGGTTTATTGGGTTATTCCCTGCACACATGCTTTTGTAGTGTCAATGCTTCCTGCTTGTGGTGGTCACGTTCTGCTCCATGAAGCAGTGCCTTGTGCAAGAGTGTGTGGACCATCAGCTTTCAAAATACCTTCCACTTTCTTCCTAATACGCTGCAACTGGTCTGTCAGCTTCAACTCTCAAGACTCTTTAGGCTTCCCCCCATTTTGGTGTTTTAAGTGCTTTACTTTGCATGTGAGCAGCAGAGATCAAATTTGTTGGTTTTTTTTTTTAAGTCAGTGTCTGACCTATTCAAGTAAGAACATTGTGGAAAAATACATGCACAGTCCCATTTCAAATAACTTTTTAAAATCATCTCTACTAATTTAAACACTGTTTTTTTTCACGCAAAGCATTTCTAAATACTCTTGAGTTTCCATAAATTGGAAATGGATACTTGGTATAGTTCAGCTCCCCTATCCTGTCCTGTCCTGTCCTATCCACGAAAACAGGTTGCTCTTATATTTAAGACCCTGATCCACAAGTGAATCCCACATGGATCTCTACTGCAGTTGTCAATCTGTGTACTAAACTAATGTGGGGTGAAGAAGTTTGGTTTTATTTTACTTTAGTTGTTTTGGTTTTTTTTAGTTCTTGGAATGTTTTTTGAAATCACCTCCAACTTTAATAGGTGTCTGAATTTTCCACTGCCGTTTCTTTCATGCAAAAATTTCTGACAAAGTGTCCGACTAATAATGCTGATAAGGGGTGGTCAGTAAAGAAATACACGTGGAAAAATAACTGGAAAAACCTCCATTGCCTCTAACTTTCTTCTTGACACTAGAAATGACTGTGAACTTTGCTGGCAATTTTGTTGTACCTTTGCGTTGCTTCAAGGGAAATTGGCCATAACCACCTGAAACAGAGGATGAACAAATTTATTTATAAGTTTTATGCAAGGGAAGACAATAAAATCTGTTCTTAATTGTGGTTTTGCTTTATAGTCTTGGAGGTGCAAGGGATAATTGGTAAAACTACGTAAAGAGATTGAAAAGCAACAGAAAATACACAAACTGTACTTGCATCTCCACTGGCTATGTGGCCCTTGTCTTCGCATGTCAGACAGCAGTTTCAAGATGGCTTAGTTGGCATTGCTGCCAAAAGTTTAACTAGTTGAGTCTTTTCTCGTGCATTGTCTTAAAACCTAGTTGGTTTACTTGTGCTTTGTGTCTGTGGTGGTTTCTCAGCACCCATGTTTTAATAATATTTTATAAACACTTTTCTTTCCCAGGAAAGATGAAGCCTAAATAAATGCTTGCAAAAAAACCCCCAGTGTAATATCTTCTCAAAAGCCTGCTTTTATATCAAAAGTACCCGTAGCATTTTGGTGTTTATTGTGCTAAAACAGAACACTTTTCCTTGCAGAAGATGGTGTCTGTGTTAAAAGTCCAGCTGCAAAAAGCCAAAATATTTATCCTGCACTGTTAAACTTCTAAATCTTTGTTAGGAAAACTCCCAAATCCTGATTGTTATTATATCTCTGCCTCTCAGTAAAAATTATTTACGTTCCTTGTGTGGCATCTGTTGTATGACAGATCAGCCACACTACATGGAGCTTGCACAGAGCTGATTGCTCACATTTGCAGTCTCCCTTGGTGGCTTCTGACTGCTCATCAGTACGAATATATCTGCTGTGCAGAGAAAGCATTAGCTTGTGTGTAATTTTTTTCTTTTTTAATCGGAGAGGATTCTTTGCTGTGAGGTAACAAATGTGAGGAGACTTACCCGAGTCCAATTTAAAAACTAATCAGTAGCATTAAGGATGATTTTTTTTCTTCTGAAGTTCTTGAACAGTTTTTTGTTTTTCTCTTTTCTTGTATATGATTACTTAATGCGGTATTAACCCAGTGAGAATAAATGTAGTGGCTTATTCTGCCTCCTTTGTTTTGGTTTCACATGCTCAAAAGCCAGTTTTATTCTGTTTCCCCCTCAATGTGATGTTGCTGCATTCACCTGTTTTTGGTTAAGAGAAATGAAGTGAAATACCTCCTTGAAGTGGTTGGTAGCACTTGCAAAAGCAAGGGGGTGAAGACGTAAGAATTGCCTGACCATAGGAGAACCTCTGGGACAGAGGACAGGACTTGGGCATAGCTCATAGCTTCAAGTTGTGCTTGCTTCCCTCTGCGTAGTGGGGTGACTTTCTTTTTAAACCAGCATTATGAATACTTAATATTTGCAAGACTCTTCTGAATAGCTTATGATTTAAAAAAAACAAAGCTGATCATTCTTGATCAAGTGTTTCCATTTTGTGGATGAAGTATTCTGATTGTATTAATTTTTTACCTCTTCCTCTGGGACACTTAACCTTGTGAAAAACATTAATGCCTTTTTTTTTCCCTTACGGATGTAGTCACTAGGCTAGCAAAACGGCCTCCACTAAATGTTTCCAAGTCGATCATAGCAACTTTGTTACCTCGTACATAGAGGTACAAGGTGAGTCTCTAGGCTGCTGTGCACTTCAGTGTCTTCATTTTGTGCTGGCTGACTGGGTCTCAAACTTACGTAGGTTTGTCTGCTTTAACACTGAGGTTAGCTGGTCAGAGGAATTTATTTCACATTTTCTCTTTTTCAATTTTCCAGGATGGCCCCCAGAGGAAAAAACGGAAGTCTGAAGTTGTAGAAGTGGACAAGCAGTTAGATATCCTGGCTATTGGTACAGCAGTTGGTAGCATTTTGTTATACAGCACATTAAAAGGAGAATTACACAGCAAGCTAGTAAGTATCACACTCTTCATCACATGCTACCAAATACTGATGGTTTCAGTCACTCTATGCTGTTCTTTTTGCTGCTCAAAAATGGAATAAACTAACCTAATTACTCAGTTGTTGGGTTTTTTTTAATGGATGTGTGTATGAATATAGGTACAGTAAATTCAGGTGCTTGGGAATCTTCAAATGGTATTTTTTTGATTGTTGGCAGTATGTACACGTTAAGAAATGTTGGTTTTGAAATCAGTGCAGTATCTTAACGTTGTGCATGGATTTGTCAGTTTGTATTCAAGTAAACAGGAATGATGAATTGACTACCTGGAGAGTTAAGTCCTCTGTGCGAGTGTGATACCCTCAGTTCCTGCACTGTACTGTGGGAGAGGAGAACAGGACTGAAGTACTTATCAGGTCTTGGGAAGGTTTCACGTTGATGGGCTCTTCTGTAAACTGACTTCCCTTGCGGAAGCTTTTGAGCTCTCTCAGCACATGATCTTCCTTGAATGATATATGCTGATTTTTCTTTTGCTTTTCTCATTGATAACTTCCCTGTTACTCCTGAGTACCTTGGGTTCAGTCTTGGATTACGTAACAAGCAAAATAAATCTATATGAGTGACTGTGCAATACTTTGAGATATTCAGGTGTACTTTTGCTTCTGAAGTGTTAGTTGTCTGTAGGGTAATGTACGTGAATTTAGAGAAACCAATGACTTCTTAAAATCATGATACCTGCAAGTGACATTAGCTAACAAATATCAGCTCTGTTCTGTGGAAAAGCTGTATTTTTGCCTGAAAACTATGAACAAAATAAAGGAGTTTCAGGTTAAAATTTACAGTTTGTCAGTTTGAAAACACTGGCTGCCCTTCTATAGGAGCAGATTAGCAGATGTTATTTGTGAGTACTTTGTTTTTTTACAGATAGGTTGAATTAAAAGATTATTCCTGACAGAATAAGAGCTGTCGCTTTTAGCTGTGCTTATTGAACAGAGTGTTTTGCTGTGATGTATTTTGTCTTGTTCAAAGCTGATTTATAGTGACACTTTTGGGAGTACTCTGAGATGGCTGGTGCCGATTCAAGTAGTGAAATTTTATAAACTCCAGGAAATATTTTCATAAACAATTAAAGGATATATTTGAGCTGCAGAGACTTTGGTTATTAAGAGAAGTGAACAGTACTTCTTTGTAGGGTCTCCTGATCTGATGATAGCTTGCTCTTGAATGCTGAGTACAAAGGGAAGGCTACTCATTTCTGAATGTACTTAAGCAAGCAGACACTTAGATGACTGTCAGCAAAACATCTGTGCTAGCCTTTCCTCTCAGCAAATCTCATACTGTTAGACAACCTTGTTTGGCTGTGTGTATAAAATTAGTGGGCAGGACAATTTTTTGTTTAACTCTGAAGTGTTAGAACAAGAATTAATTAAAGTACTTATGTATACATATCAAAATATGAATTAGCTTTAAATTATATAACTATATTTGTATATTTGTCTTTAAAACCCCACTCTCTTTTCAAGTAGTTAATGATTTTATTTCAGTTCTCGAAAGAGCAGCTTGTTGACATTTTTGGTGTGAGAAAGAGTCAGTAGTCAAGACTTCTTCATTAATGGGTTGACCCTCTTACCTTTTGTAGGATGGTGGTCATGACAATAGAGTAAACTGTGTCAGATGGCATCAGGAAAACTGCTGCTTGTATAGCTGTTCAGAGGACAAACACATTGTGGAATGGAACACACAGACTTGCAAAGTAAAGTGGTAAGTGATGCCGGTTTTTGGTCAGGTTTGTTCATACTTGCTGTTGCGTATTTCCTCCCTCACAGGTTTTAGTGAAGCCCTGTTGGAAATGCTGCACTCTGCTGTCCAGGCTTCATGCCCACTGTACTGTTGGCTATTATTTTTCTGAGATTGGAAGTGGTTTTATTAAGGGATAAAAGAATAATTTTCATAGTTTGGTTTCTTCTTCTGTGTATTGGAAAGACTGGATGAAATGAGTAACTGTGCTGAGAAGGATTTGAGTCCCTTCGTGCTAGCTCTTAGTGGGACATGGGATTCCAATCACTCTTGTGATACTGAAAAATCTGAATTCTAGAAAATATCCTTGGAAATACAGGGGAGCAGATAATGGAACACCTTATCCCAGTTAAATTGGTTACATGCACCTGGATTTGCTCAAAGCGCCTTGCTGTGATGATAATCCACTTGGTTTCGCTCACTACTGATGTGCAGTGAGGACAGTTCCACTTGGCTGTCTGAGCGGGCTGCTGCTGTTTAAAGCACTGCTGAGTGGAATAGAGCTTAGTGCAGAGCAACAGATGTCTGATTTACTTTCTTTTGTAATAAAGTCAAACTATTTTTAAACTTCAAAGAAAAAGCCAAGATTTCTATTAATGATCCTGGTCATACTTCAACAAGAGCCTAGTGTGTGATAGCACCTTGACTTTTCTGTTATGCTGTTTCTGTTTTTTGTAACGTTTCCCAGTGTTGGATTCTTACTGGAGCTCTGTAGGTTTTGCTAAAGATGGTGTGGGCACAGCAGATGGCCCATCATCAATAGCCTCTTTGATTTCTCTAGAAAAGAGATGCATCCTTAGGTTGTAGTAAGTTGAGACCTTGCATAAAAACTCCCTCTTGCCTTCTGTCCTCAGGATTGAACACACCTAGTTTCCTCACCTTTTCCTCTTATTATGTGCTCTAGTTCCTAAGCTGCCTTTGTGGCCCTCCACTGGATTTACTTTGTTATGTCAGTGACTTGCTTGTACTACCCCAGGCTGGACATAGTGCTCAGATGCAGTTTGGAAACTGTTGCACAGAGAAGAGGAATTACTTTCTGCGCTTGTGTTGTGGTTTAGTGCTCGGCTGGCCACTAAATCCTGGACAGATGCTCTCTATTAACCCTTCTCCCATCCCCAGAAGGGAAAAGAGAATAAGGGAGAGAGACTTCACGGTTTGGAAAATAAAACTAACAGTTTTAATAAAACAATAATACTAATACTACAGGATAATTTTGTAAATAGGGAAATAATGAAATATATACAGATATGTACAAGTATATATATAAAACCAATCTAAAATCCTACCCCCCCGCCCTCCCCCAATGATGAATACATCACCAGAGGCCCTGTGGAGCAGGGCACTGGAAAAGTCCCAGCCCAGACCCAGCAGCAGGTGGGAGCAGGATGCAGGAACACATGAATCAGGATCAGCGGCAGATGAACCAGCAGGGTTCTGCTCAGACTTTGGCCATGGCAGGATCAAGAAGAGTCAAGATGGAAGGAAGGATCCAAGATGGAAAGGGTCAAGACCCTCGTAATCCCTCAGCTTTATGCTGAGTTTGACGTATGTGGGATGGGATACCTAGTTGGTCAGTTTTGAGTCCGTTCCCCCCTGGTAGGTGCAGACACAGTACCCATGGTGAGACAGTGGCCTTGTGATTATCACTCATAGCAGTGCATACTGTCTGGAAAAACATGCTGCTAGTTTCAGCAAGTTCAGCCACTTAGAAGAGACTGAGCTGAAAACTAAAATCACTAAATAGAAAATTGGTTCTATTTAGCTCAAACTAGGACAGCTTGCTACATTGTAGCTAATACAAATCACTGTGCAGTTGAACTGATTGCCACAAGGACTCTGTTAAGTCTTGGTCAACTTGATTGAGGACTGCAAGCTCCTTTTCTGCAAAGCTGCTTTCTAGCCATTTGTCCCCAGCCTCTACTGGGATTTTTCTGTCCCTTGTGCAGGACTATATTTTCCTTTGAGCTTTGAGTTTCTGACAGCCTGTTTCTCACGCCTGCGTAGATGCCCCTGAGTAGTAGCCCTGCCCTCCAACATATCATCTGCTCCCCTGAATTTGGTATTGAATGTGAGCTTGTTATGTGGACATTCTGCACTGTTCTGAGATCATTAATGATGACCTGGGAAATTACTGAGGATATTAAATAGTATTGGGATGTCCTTAGAGGGTATGAGCAGTAACTGGCCACCAGCTGGACTTCATATCAGTATCACAACTGTTTGAAATCAATGATCTAGGCAGATCTTGTCCCTCCTTGGAGTCCATAAATTCAGTCTACGTATCTCGAGTTTGGTTGCAAGGATGCCATGTGGGACATTGTCAAAAGCATTACTAAAGCAAAGTTAAATGGCATACATGACTCTCCTGTCATCCATCAAGACAGTTGTCTCATTAAGAAGGTAATCGGGTTGGTTAGGCAGAATTTGCCATTTGTAAATTATTGCTGGCTGTTCCCATACACTTACCTTTCTGTGCCTCGAAATGGCTTCCAGATGGATTTGTCGTATAACTTTCCCTGTTGTTTCCTGGATTCTCCTTCTTGTGGATGTATTTTGTCTCTCTTTCTTTTCAAGTCATCAGAAACTTCTCTTGAGCTATGTGACCACTCACAATGATAGTGTGGTCTTTTAAATAACACTGACCTTAGCAGTTGTGAATGCATCCTGTTCAGTGTGAAGGAGTTGCATGTGTTAGAATTGCTGTTTTGATCCCTAATTTGATCTACCTTTACTCTGGGGAGTGCTTTGCTCCCTCTGACTCTGGCACTAGGTTTGAGAGCATGGGAGGCCTGAGAGACTTTGCTTTTCAGTGTTTTGGCTCTTTCTGTGTTCCAAGTGGGTCCCTACACAAGTCAGTGGCAGGCCCACACTGTCCTCAGTCATCTTACTGCTGTTTATGTGCTGTGTGTAGATGTCCTTTTGTTGGCCTTCATATTCCCTGCTGGTTTGAACACAGGTTAAGCTTCGGCTAATTCTGTCCCTGCATGCCTGGACAATATTTTTATATTCCTTTGTGTAACCTATCTCCACTTTCACCTTCTCTATATTTCTTCTTTGTGTTTTTGAGTTCTCAGAAGTTACCCACTTGGCCAAGCCAGCCTTCTGCAGTTCCTGGTGATTTTCTGCTCTTCGGAAAGGACTGTTATTTTGCTTTGAGGACGTTATCCTGGAAGAGCAGCCAGGTTTCCTGGGCCCCTTTGCCCTTCAAGGCAGCCTCCTGTTGGATCCTGCCAATCAGTTCTCTGAATAATTTCCAGTCTGCTTTTTTGAAGTCCAGGGTTGTAATTCTGCTGTTTATGTTGCTTGTTTTTCTTAGGGTCTTATATGCTGTTGCCTTGTGGGTGCTATAGCTGGAGGTTGTCATCAACCATCGCATCCCAGTTCTTCCTTTTTTTTTTTTGTTTGGTTTGTTCGTTTGTTTTGTTCTGTTTTTGTTTTTGTTTTTCTTCACTTTGAGAAGTTAATCCAGTAAAGCACCTTTCATGGTCTGGCTTTAAATCACTTGCATCAAGAAAAGGTCTTCAGCACTTGCCAGCAATCTCTGGGACTGCTTGTGTCCTTCTGTGCTGCCCTTCCAGCAGTTGTTGGGGTGGTTAAAGCCCCTTAGAAGAACCAGGGAATGGGGTTATGAAGATTTATCAATTTCTTTTTTCAATTGGACAATCTGTAGCAGCTGCCCACCATACTGCCCTTGTTGGTCTCTTCTCTTACTTATCTGTAAGTTGTTCACTGGCTCTTTGCCTGTTTCAGAGGAAAGCTCTGTGTGTTCATGCTACCCTTTTGTGGGAAGAAACCTCTCTCCTTTTTGCCTTCCTAGCATGTCCTTGCTGACATGTCTTCCTGAAGGTCCATTTATTGCAGCACTCCTGTCTTGCAAGCTATCCTGCTGTTTCTCTGATCACAGTGAGATGAAAGCTCTGAAGCAGCCCATGGATATGTGATTCACCCTATCTGTAGCCCGTAGCATGTATGTTCATGTACAGGGACTTGAGATGGGTCCCAGTCATGCTGCTTTCTTGGGAAATGTGAGAATTTATCCTGTTGTGCTTGATCTTGGGTATTTCCCTCTGCCCTGTTCCTTACCACTGCTTTTTGGGGCCTGTGATAATAGAACGTAATTAGAGGCATCGTATTCTTTAATTTTGAAGATGACAACAAAAAATAATTCCTGGAGTGTATACATTAAAAGTACACCAGCAATATAATATCGTGCTTTTTAATGGAATATTTTTTCTGGTACTGTTATGACTCATACCCAAAGTAAATGACACTGGAAGGAGTAGAAGAAAACAATTACCTAAAATTTTACCTAAATTGATGAGACTAGAAGGAAGAAATTATCTAAAATTGCTCATGCCCAGTGTACATGTGAAATTATCTGCATTGTTTAACACTTGTCAAGACTTGGAAATTAATCCTTATGTATCCCACAGAGAATTAAGGATGGTTGCTCCTGAGGTAGAGATGTGTTCAACTTCTGTTGATTTGCAGGCTTCTAGTCATTTTCCTATAGAAGTATGGATGACTAGATAGGGAAGTGAAACCATGTGACTTTAGGCTTGACTTTCTTAATTACTGTAGAAGTAGTCTGTAGAAATAGAACTCTATTTTTGCCAAAAAAAGGTAAGAATTTTTTTTGAGTGTGGAATCATGAAGTTGCCTGTAAAATGGTAAAAGGTAGTTGAACAAAATGGACACTACATTGTTTAATAAAGTCTTTGTTTCCCATGAAAACTTCGCCTTTCATTTACCCAGAAGAAAAAGCAATTACTTTTGCCTCAATCCAGTAAAATATTCTGGATTACTTCTTGTTTTTCTGACTGTAGCTTTTTCATGTCTTAAATACTCTGAATACTCAAAGACATCCTGTATATCTCCTTATGCAGCTTCTTGTTTCATGATACCTTGTTTAAAACTCTTTCCTGAAAATTATATAAAGAGCATCCAAAGTAAAAACTAATGGATTTTTGCTGTGTTTTATGTTCTGCAGTCTAGCTTAGTACATTTAAAAACACTTTCTTGGGTTTACTGATCTTGGTGTCTATGTAGTTGTTTCCCTTGCATCCCACTCCTCTTCCCACTGCAGATTCTGCAGCAGGTTTGGGTTTGTTTTTTTTTTTTTTTTTTCCCCCCTTCTTAAATATGTTATCACAGAGATAATACCACTGTTGCTGATTGGCTTGGCCATGGCCAGAGGCAAGTCCAACTTGGAGCCAGGGCAGTTTCTAGCAGCTTCTCACAGGAGACACCCCGCTAGCCCCTCCCCTGCCACCAAAATCCCACCACACAAACCCAGTACATTCTACCCCTTGCCTCTGTGAATCACATATTTAAGAGTTATCATTGAAATCCACATTCATAACACAGTTTTCACAAACTTAACTCATATAAACAGAAAAGACTTCCCTGTACCAAGACTAAAATAACATCATCACGATAGTAAATGAAAGTGGACAGTTTACACACCATCCGCCCCTTGTCTTTCTACCACAATTGAACAAACAGAATTCCTGTGGTTATTCCACTAATGTTGTTCAGTCTATCTTTTGTCCGTTACCTCCCCCAATTACTGTCCTTATCTTGAATTCCTCAGGTCCCAGACAGGACACCAAAGAAGACTGTCATGGTTTAGATCCAGCCAGCAACTGAGCACCATGCGGCTGCTCACACTCTCCTTGCCATAGTGGGATGAGGAGGAGAAAATGTAATGAAAGGCTTGTGGGTTGAGACAAGGACAGGAAGGGATCACTCATCAATTACAGTCATGGGCGAAAACAGACTCAACTTGAGGAAAAAAACAATTTCATTTGTTACCAATCAAATCAGAGTAGGATAATGCAAAATAAACCAACATTTTAAATACATCTTCCCCCCACCCTTCCCTTCTTCCTGGGCTCAACTTTGTTCCCAGTTTCTCTACCTCCTTTCTCCTCCTACTCCAAGCAGTGCAGTGGAATGGGGGACATAGTTCATCATGTGCTGTTTCTGCTACTCCTTCCTCTTCAAGGGCGTGAAGACTCCTCATACCCTTCCCCTGCTCCAGTGTGGGGACCCTCCCATGGGAGACAGCTCTCTACAAACTTCTCAGATGTGCGTCCTTTCAGCAGGCTGCAGTTCTTCAAAGACTGCTCCAGCGTGAGTCCCTTTTGGTGGGGTGCAGTCCTTTAGGAACAGACTGCTCCAGTACAGGCTTCCCATGGAGTCATGGCCTTCAGGTGCAGTCATCTGCTTCAATGTGGGGTCCTCCATGGGCTGCAGGTGGTTATCTGCTCCTCTGTTAACCACCATAGACTGTAGGATAAATCTGTGCTCCAGTGCACCTCTCCAGTCTCCTTTCTTCACTTGTCTTGGCATCTGCATAGTCGTTTCTCTCACATGCCACTCCTTGTTCCACAGGAGGTGGTGGGGTTTTTTCTCTTAAATATTTATCACAGAGACGCTACCACTGTTGCTGATTGGCTTGGCCTTGGCCAGAGGCAGGTCCAACTTGGAACCAGGGAAGCTTCCAGCAGCGTCTCACAGGACCCACCCCCGTAGCCCATCCCCTGCTACTAAAATGCCATCCTATCAACCCAGTATGGACAGGAGAGGCTCTGCTTAGTCAAGTGAAAGTTATTTGGAAGTACTTCCAAAGCAGCTGTTTACAACCAGAATGTGATGGGTTGTAGGGTACTTCCTATCAGTAAGGGTTTGTGTTAGTGCTTTTCTTGCAATGTTGTTCCGTGAGAAACATATAGTGCTCAGTCTCCTTTCAAGCAGATGCAAGGTTTTCATGACAGCATCTTTCTTTTTTATTTTTAAATAGTGTTCTGAACCATAGAACTTTTAAGGTGAAGTTTATTATTGTCACTGTCATTGACAGACTTGGGAGCAGGGCCGGGAACTGAGTGGGCCTTTAAACACTGAATTTTAGGGTTGAGAAGGCCTTTCTGAACAGGTCAGTGTAAGCTTTTTGGATTATGGTGCAAAGACAAGTCTTGAAATGGGATGGTTCCTCTTACCCTATTTTGAGTTGTAGAGAAATTTGAGAGAGGAATTCAGAACAGACAAATATTTTTAAAGTGTCAACGGTTGTTTGGTATTAAATAGCTTTACATCTTTGAGTTGCTGTATTTTTGAGTAAGCTATTAAGGAGAGGAGCAGAAATAGAATAGATTTGACCTCATATTTGCCTACTTAATTTATTATTTTTTAAAATAAGCTTTCACTTAAATTTTCCGGCATCGTTGATGTGTATTTTGAGATTATTAATTAAAACTGTTTTCTATTTCTTCATCTTTCTCACTTTCTACAAAAACCCTCCATCCAAATTCTAGCAAGTGGAAAGGCGACGGTAGCAGTGTCACCTCTCTATGCATCAGTCCAGATGGGAAAATGCTGCTGTCAGCCGGTAGAACTATAAAACTGTGGGACCTGGAGACCAAAGAAGTCTACAGAGTAAGTAACTTTGTTTAACTGAATGCAAAAAAATACCCTTCATGATTGATGATAGCAAGTATCCAGTGTTTCCTAATAGGACATCTGAAAATTTCACTGGGTATGAGGAGACAGTTAGCAGGTTTGGAACTGCTGGAAGCTGTTGCTGTGATGATACCCTCAACTGTGGTTTCAACTTGCTGAGAGTTGAATGAGGATATTAAATTCCTTGGCTGTGTCAGAGCATGCTACCAGCAGACTTTCTCAAGCCTGTAGCAGAAAGATGGATGCTGTTCTTTTCACTGGGTCCCTTTCTTGTACCCTCCTAATAGGAGAACTCATTTCACTGCAGTATTAGTTACTGCTGGTGTGGGTTTGAGTGAGATCCCTGACTTTCATAATGAGTTGTTCTTCGAAGCCTTCACGTTTCTTTGCTAAACTTTATGTAATTGGTGGCATTAACAGTTTTGCTGTTGAAACAGTTGGAAGGCATTGGAGCAAAACCTTTGTTGTTCCCTGAGCAGGACTCGGACATGAGCAAATTACTATGTTTTAGCTCTTCGTAAATGCAGTTGTATTCTCTTGCCTGTTAGCAGATAGGCTGCAGCTAGCCTCTGAATACTGGTAATTGATTTCAGGTAAGTGTGTACTGTTACTGGCACATGACGACTGCCGTGTGTGTCTGCATCCTATGATGACCAAAACCAAAAGTTCCAAAAGTAGATTAAAGAAGCAATATTTTTTTTTGGGGGGGTGGGAAGTGGAAAGGGTTGGAGGGGGCATTGAATATTCTCAGTGTGTCAGCAGACCTGTGCATTCATCTTACACTTGAGAATAATACTGTGAATCTAGTTTCGTTGTAGAAGTGTAAAATTGTGTGTGTGTGGGGGAGTGCTTTCTGACAGTAACGGCAGTGCAGGTGAATGTGATTTCTTTTGCATGGACTTAGTCCCAGTGAATTTGCTTTTGATTCTCCATTTAACTTTTAAAATTCTGATAAATATTTGGACGTTCAAAAAAAGTTTCCTTGAAATACAGAAATGCCAGGAAGCTGGTCATGAGTAAAAAAGTCACTGAAATGTCCTTGTTGACTTAGCAACACTTGAATCTTTCCTAACCATCTCTGTTAACTAATGTTTTAATTTTTGCCATATGACTGCTTATGGCAATTACTGAAAGATTCTTTTTTTTTTCTCTTAGCATTTCACAGGCCATGCTACATCAGTATCATCATTAATATTTACCACGGTGAAACCTATGAATGAAAATAAGCCCTTTGATGGAATTACAGGACTTTATTTCTTGTCTGGAGCTATACATGACCGATTACTGAGTGTATGGTATGTAAGCTTTTTGTAATTTGTAGCTTTAATTATGATCAATATTGAGGCTAGATTCAGTACGTATGTTCTGCATGCTGTGATTAAGCAGAAGGTTAAGCAGAAGAGGCACTCTGGAGAAATGCAGTGATGATCTCTTTAAAGGTGGTTTCAACTCACTGATTGTTGAATGAAGACTTGAATTTCCTTGGCTGTGTCTGAGCATGCTTCCAGTTGCCATTTGAATCGCTAGTGTATGCCAAGAACATACTGAGTAATAGGCTTCCTTGTTCTTTGTATCTACAGCAAGGTTTATGCTAAGTTTTCTTGCTAAATTTCACTGGGAAGTTACTTTGCACTTGGAATTTAGAAAACTTTCTAAGCTGAAAGCTGAAATGACAGCATGAGTATCTATAAAGCCTATAAATCACCACAGTCGCTGGTAGTTTATAGGCTTTATGATGCTTTTGAGGTGCAAGGGTGCTGTTTGTGCTATGGCAAATAATGTGTACTCTTGTGTGTTCCAGGCAGATCAGATCGGATAGGAAAGAAAAGAACGCTGTGATGTCTTTCACAGTAACGGATGAACCAACTTTTGTTGACCTGACTGTATCAGAAGTCAAAGAAGAGGTAGGAGCAATAGTTTGTAACCAGATATGTGCAACATCAATTTCCTTTTAAGTATATAAAGAAAGAAGCTTGGTTTGTCCTTATGTTCTGTTATGCAGAGATGAGATCTGAATGCCAGTTCACAGGTATAAGGATATTTATTACAGGTGGATTTCTAAATCTGGTAGTTTGAAATACTCATTTTCAAAGCTCCTAAGTGCAAATTAAGTGTTTTCTTTAGAAATTCTGCTTGTGATGACGGAAATACGTTTTTTTTCCTATTTAGAACAAGTTAGCAATCAAAAAGGTTGTTAAAACTTGGCAGCAAAAAAACCCAACCAAACAAAATCTTTCTAAAAATCCATTTTGGGTATCGTCCTGTTTTTTTTCTCTTCTCAAGTGGCTTTGGCAGTGTAACTGCATTTTGAATTGACTAGTCTTTAATGAGTTAAAGCAGCAGTATACATTCCCCAAGTCTCTCAGTGTCAGCAAGTACAAATCTTTCAAAGTAGTTGTCTAATGAAAAATGTCTACGTGTGAAACATGCTCAAATACTGTTTTAGTAATTATTTAAAACATTTTTCTCCTGCTGCCTTTGGATTCTTTTTCTAAAAACAGTATTTCATGCTAAATTTTCTAATGTTTCCAGTTGTACTCTTACTTTATGTATTGGAGATAGAGTATTCTGTAATGTACATCTGTCACTAATTGTACAGAGTACTCATCTGAGTTTCTTTTCTCCAAGCATATTTACAATGTTGACACCTTTGTAGACCTGTGCCTCTAGACACATTGGGTATCATATTTTTGGAACTTTGCTGCTTCTGATGACATAAGTCTGCTACTGTCCAAACCATTCAAATTGGGATATATCAGTGGTGATACAGTAAAGTACCGTTGTGAATTATGTTTTTTCTCTTAATAGTTGTACTAAGTGTTTCTGACATGTTAGTGTCTTTGATCTTCCTTATGGATTTAGTTATACCTTCAGTGTGTTTAGTTAATGAAAAAAGTAAAATCTTAGCCATGCACCTATCTCTTGATGTCCTGTACTTAGAGGAGGTTTGTCCTTTGGTCTCATTAAAATCTTCTACTGTGCATTCTTTCAGCCTGTGAAGTTAGCAGTTGTGTGCAGAGACGGGCAGTTGCATTTATTTGAACATATCTTAAATGGGTAAGTTAGTATTTGTATTGAGGGTGTCTTTGGGAAAGGTCTGGCTTTACTGTAAGGCAAAGTTCAGTCTTGTCATGCAGGTGCATATAAGCTCTTAAATCTGTTCACAAACCAGGTTCTAGCTGGTTCGTTGTCTTGGGTTGCTGGATACGTTTCTGGAGAACTTGCTTGCTGATCTGTGCTGAACTTTGGTATTTAGTGTTACTTTAGCAAAGATTTTTGTGTCTGTACCTCACCTTAGCCATCTGTAAAAGGTGTAAACTGGCTGAGTTTGCTGAGGACCTGCTAATGAAACGTCCTTAGAAGTGCAAGATATTGAGGTGTTCAAGCTGAACCTCTTGGAATTTTTTCATTCCTTTTTTAAATTATTTTTTTTATTTCAGTTATTGCAAAAAACCCTTAACGTCAAACTGTACTATCCAGATAGCAACGCCTGGAAATGATGGGGACTCCACACCAAAACCAGTCCCTATTTTAGCAGCTGCATTTTGCACAGACAAACAGTCTCTGCTGCTTGTGTATGGAAACACCTTACAGCCCATCATAGAGAAAGTGGTATGTAAAACTTACTGGAGAGGTTTTGGATTTTGTAATATGGACTGTATACTGGTCTCAGTTGGAGGGATTTTTTTTTAACTTTGTTGGAACTGTGTAACAAGACAAAGGTTATTCCTTCCCTTTTTTCTGGGAGGTATGATAGTTGTCCCTGAGGTACTTTGAAAGGTGATTTGTATTCTTCCATTCTTTCAATTAAAATACAGGTTGACATTACTGCTGGCTCTTCCTTGCCATTTCAGCTGTTACTGACTTAGGCCATTGAATCTCTTTTTAATACTGTTTCAGTTTACCTGTGTGAGCTTTATAGAGCACAGAGGTCTGGGAAAAAAAGTAACAGCAAAGTATCTGCTGTTCTAGAGTGAAATAATGTTCATTTTACTTTATGCCTCTGGAATTTGTTCTCATCTTTCAGTAGTGTAATGAATCACGGGGGTGAATCTCAAATATATTAACTGGTTTTTGTTCCTGTCTTTCTAGTCTTTGAATACCACAGAATCCCACATATGTTTGATAAGGGACATCCAGAAAGTCTTGTCACTTAAAACAGATGTTGCCCTAACAAAGGTGAGTTGTGTGTGAAATGGCAATTTTGTGCTCCTCTTGTTTTACTTTGGAAATGTCAGAATTCACTGCTCTCTTTTGAAATGAGGCTGGATTTCTGGATGGACCTGCTTAGAGCTGCAGTAGCTACAGATGTCTGGAACTCAGGCAGGTGTGGGTGAAGTGTGCTTCATGGCTGCTGTGTGTCCCAGTATGCTCTCCCACACAGTTACCCTCCTGTAGCTCATAGCAAGTCTTGTTCTCAGCAGGTCTGCTTGATAGACAGGACTGACTGCTGGTTTCTTTTCTGCTTGGGATCAGTCCTTCCCCTGGAGTCTGTCAGTTTGTACAACCTCTTTGACCCTGATGGTTTGGAGTGAAATTGGGATTACTTTATTTGGGGTCTAAATAAAATTTAATGTAGCCTTAAAGGGCATGTCCTTTTGGCTCTTTCTCACGGTGGTCTTCACGTGTTCATACAGCAGGTATGGCACCTGGGAGTGTCAGCTTGATGCTCAGATGGCAGTGGTGTCATCTCATGCGGGATCCCCTGGGAGTGTAGAGACAGTCTGTGAAGTTCTTACTTAATAAGTGTGCATATTCAAGGCCTTGAAGACTTGAAACGCTTGCAGTAACAGTGAAGTGAGCAGGCAGTGCTGTTTCTCTAATCTTCAATTTACCTACCGGATCTGGTGCTCCATCAGCCAGGCAGGGTTTTTATGCTGATTGCTCAGTCCTGGAGCTGGTGGGTAGCAGAGCTGAAATGCAGTGAGAGGTATAGAAACTCCCTGGTATGCAGTGATGATACCCATCTTGGTTTCGCTTTTTGCTGAATTCCAGTGAAGACGCATTTCTCTTGGCTGTCTGAGCATGCCTTAAGGGGAGAAGGTCAATTATTAGTGTGGTAAGCAAAAGGGATAGTATATTAACACTGTTGCTGCTCTATGGTAAAATTCTTCAGCCACTTTTTTTTTTCTTCTCTACTTTTAGACACAGCATATGGAATTTTATTTGCTTACTGTAGTGGATTATATTTGTGTCACTTTAGTAGGTCCCCAGCAGGGCTCCCACAAGTACAGACGTTTGGGAAGGTACTTGAAAAAAAGAGCCACTCAGAAGCACTGTGGTTAAAGAAGTGTTCCGGAAGTAGCAGGTAGCATTCCTGATACTCTGGAAGTGGCATATTCCCTCACATCCTTGCCTGTGGGTCAGGGGAGCACTCAGTTATGAATTTTATTGCCTTTAAAATTCGATCCACTTTGCGTTCATTGAAGATGGTTACCAAGCTTGTTTGGGGTAACCTAAGGCTGTTCTGTTTATCATCATGATCGTCGTCTTAATTCAGGCTATCAAGTTCTGTGTCTGAGCAATCCCTAGAAGAAAATCAGTGGGTTTGTAGTGACTAGTTACTGCCTTTTACTGTTATATTGTGCTGCTGTTTGTGATCAGTTCTTACCTTCCAGTGGAAGCTGAATTAACCTGCATGTGGTTTATGGTCCTGATTATTAGTACATGTGGTATCTATTGCTAGTAAACATCCAAATATTTGTTGTTGGATACAAACACTTAGTTTGATGAGTGTTATGGAACAATTTTGTAAGAAAAATGATTCACTGGTGGTTCTAAAGAGACTGTTGCTTTAGTTAATTAGGAAAACTAGTTGGCTGTTGCTTGAGATTATTAATTTATCTTAAAAGTGCTAAGAAAATGGCTTGTGGCAGACTGATTTTACTGTGTATGTGAGTGCCTCAGAACAGAATCAGTGTTCTAAATTGGAAAAAATGCTTAAGATACTAGCAATTCATGCAGATGTTGTTATCTCTGTCTGCTAGGTGAAGACACCGGTTGTGAACTCAGACACCAAAGTTCTAGTGCCTGGCATTCCAGGACATAGTGCAGCTGTCAAAACTCCATCCTCAGGAAAGGAGAAAAAGAAAAACAAGAGGAAACCAGGAGAGACAGAGGTAAAACGCATCTTTTTTTAAACACAGTAATAATGGAGAAATTAGAATGATAAATCTTCATTATAACTTATTTGGTGAATTTGAACTTGCTTTGTTTGGTATGAAAGCAAGGTTAATCATGTTTTTGTATGAAGGAGACTTCCCTCTGCTCAAAAACTTTCTCTTATTCAAGCCCTGTGTGTCTTTGCCTGTAGTTTTGCCATGTTCCTGCAGAGCTTTGTCACACGCTTGTGTCTGTGTCTCTGTGCTAAGGTGTATTACTGCTTTTCAGCCAAAACTTTCTTTTCTTCTTTTCTCAGGCTATTCTCTGTTAGTACCTTTAAAAGAATACGCAAAACTTGTGTTTTCCAGCAGAATCAGAGGGAATGCTGTAGGTTAGATACTTTGTTTTCAGCTGATGTTTCTGAGAAACTGCACTGAAACACCACTGCCCCTGTTTACTGTCTGCAGGAAAGCATTGAAGAGCGCCTCGGGGCGTTGGATATCGATGTGAGCAAAGTAAAAACTCCAGGTGGCCTTCCACAAACAGACAGCTTCGCAGTACTTTTGGTTCAGGGCTTGGAAAGCAATGATGCAGAAATCTTAAATGTAAGTGTTACAGGATCATTGTATGCTGTTTAATCTATTCACTGAGACTTGTGAGGACCCTTCCTGAATTATGTGGAGGCTGAACAGTCAAGAACCTATTGTTTCTCCCAACTGCTTTTTGTTGATTTGCTGCTCAAGGCAGTGGTATTATAAATGATAGTAGCAGTATTACTTTTTTGTTGTTATCAACCTTGCCTTCTGAGTCAGTCTATGAGCTTTGAAGTGTTTCTGTTTATGATATATTTGTTATGTCACAATTCAGATGTTTTTGAAGCGATTTGACTGATGCAGCCATCTTCCCTTTAGCTTGAGCTGGAGCATAATCTGTGCTTAATCTTCTGAGTGTACACTTTCCAAGTAGATACTGTTTGAAGAATGCATTGACAACAACAGTTTCACTTGAAAAGCTTACTGTTGCACTTGGGCTAGAAGGAAATTATAGTTCTGGGGCAGGGAAATGAAATATTAAGACTTTAATGCTGAATAGAAATTGCTTGTCACAGATACTGGTGAAGAGCATTTATTTACAGAATTCAATCACAGAAAATAGCAAAGGAAATCTTAATGTGCCTGTGATGCTTTGTTTCTAACATGAGGTGGTGGGTTGGCTAGAGGCAATGCTAGATTCTTTTACATGGGTTAATCAAGTGTTTGATTTTGTTAGTTGTAGGCTGACTTAAAAAATGGAACTCCTTTTCATAGTAAATCTTTTACTCATTATCCACACCTTGGCATGCAAAGGTAGCGGAGTAGAAAAAGATCTAAAGCCAGAAACTTTGTGACTGTGCTCCTTGCTCATACACATGTTAAAACAATAATTCTCTGACCATGTTTTTCCATTTTAACAGAGGGTGCTTAACACAAGAAAGGAAAGTGTAATAAAGAACACAGTAGCCAGAATGCCTATACATGCTGTCATTCCACTGCTGCATGAGGTAGGAGACACTGCCTTTCTTATACTGTCATACAAACTACATTTGGCTTGTGTTCTAGCTGCGGGAAATCCAGGATATGTCTCTTTATTTTTACCGGTGAAATTGTTTTGGTAGTTTTACAGGACAGAAATTATTCTTACTTTATCTAGTATGCTTTTATCTTTTCTGGCTGAAGCTTAACCAAAGGACAAAGTGCCACTGTCAAAGCTAGGAAGAGCATTAGGTCATGTAATATCATCTTAAATGATTATGTGGGAAGAAGACAAGGAGGAGGTTAAACTAACACTTGTTTAGTCAATGCAAACAATTTCCATTGCATCTTCTATTAAAAACTATTAAAATGGGTGATAATTTTAAAAATTAAAATAGCAGTGCTGTCCAGAGCAAATTATATGAGTTATATGCTAGATACTCATGTGAGAGAAAGAGAAGTAGAATACGTACTTAGAGCAGTGATTTTAGATAGCACTTGGGAACTGAAGGGCAATTTCTTTCCTGTTTTGAGGATAGATCAGAAGCCTAGTTGCTATATTTAAGCTTTGCAACATCACTTAGTAATAATTTTTAAAGGGATCTGGCTTTTGAACTCCTTTTTCAGTGATATTAAATCAAATTTATATGTGGACAGAAATATTTTAATAATTAGCCTTATCTAGGCATTACTTTGTTTAAGCTAGACATTGATTAGTTGCTTTTGTTAGATGAATAATGTTCTATACCATAAGTTAACGGTTAGATTTCTTTTGTATTTTAATGTGCTGGCCACAAATAAGATATAATTTAATTTATGGTACTGATCTTAACTGAATCATGCAGATGGCTTAGTTTTGAGTGTTTAGGCTACCTTTAAGCACGTGTTGTGACACCTTCTTAGACCTATGTTAATGAGGTGCAGTGTTTCTTTGTCAGAGAATCTAAGTGCAGCTGTTGGACTATATAATCTCAGTGGATGGACAGATCTTCATGTAACTGTCCTCTCCAGAGCCTGAGATCTCTTCTGTGAAATAGCCTTTACCTGATACTGCCTTCATTTGTTCCCACAATCTGTCTGCCTTGTAACAGCTGCTGTGCTAAGCAGATAAATAGAGACACATAAACAAAGGGATTTCCTTCCACTTATTCCTGTAAGCTGTAAGTTTCTCTGGATATATTGCCTGTTAAGAGTTCCAGTCTTATTGCAATGGTGGAGCCAGCAATGTAGTGTTCTGGAGCCAGACAACGGTTAATCCTACTAAACTTCAAATGCCTGGAGACCTCTCTGCTCCAATATTGGGGCTGTCACATGGATGTAGTGTTGGGTTTTTAAACTCATTTTGTGTTTGTTACTTATTGCTGATTGTTTTTTGTCCTTTTAGCTTACGAAGAGATTGCAGGGCAACCCATACAGGTAAGAGACAACTCAACTACAGCTTAATTCACCTGAAGCTTTTCTAGTATGTGTGTTATGGTCCCTCTCTCTATCTGTCTGATTGATTTCCATAGTAACTGTAACTAAACTGCAGCACCTTGAGGTAAAAATTCTTACCTGATTGTGGGTGCAGAGAGGGACTTTTAAGGCAGTGCTTTGCCTGGATGGCTGAAGTGAAATTAAAAAAGAAAAAGGATACCTGAAGGAAGCATATAACTCTGAGAAAGTGAAGTCCCAAAATATTGACACTGCAATTCTGATCAATATGTAAAATAAGATAACTATAACATATATAGCTTGTTTGGTTTAATTATTATATGTAGACATCTCCTGGTGTTGTGTTTAATTATTAACAAAACCAGCTCTTCCTGCCCCTGTGTGTCTGTCCCACCCTCACCCCAGTCTTGTTATATTGCTATAGGGATATAGGGATTGCTTTGCTGAGACTAGTGGTCCTTAGTTGTGTTGTTTGATTGGGGGTTGGATTGGTTTGGTTTGTTTATTTGGTGGTTTGGGTGGTTTTATTTATTTATTTAAATTAAAAGATCCCTCATTGTAGGTGGAGAAAGAAGTTCTTTCTATAAGTACCTTCTATAGAACCACGTAGCAACCAGAATGTGAAAAGGGTGTTTCTCAGCCAGCATCTCTTGATATAATTTATTTTTCTTTTCTAGTGCCTCATTAATGGTTCGGTGGCTGAAGTCAATTTTTACTCTACATGCATCCTACCTTTCCACAGTAAGTATCTTGCATTAATGCTAATGCATGTAACTAAAGCTAGATTTAAATGTGTGTTCTTCCTTTAGGAATCTGTCTTCTGCTTTCCACATAGTGCAGTGCCCAAATCAATGTACACAGGGCTATACTTCTGCCACTTCTGCCGAATTGCTGCACATTGGTTATAAATTGTTTGTCTTGGTCACTCATGACGTAATTACATTCATCCCAAAGTCAAACCAATATAAGTTACGTCATACCTGTGAGAGGGAACAAAATTACTGTCAAAGAGTAATCTAGCCTGTGTGCTAAATCTTACAGAACTAAATTTGCCTTGCCGCTGTAGTGCTCACCCTGAGACTTATCTTGGGCATGGCTATAGATATATGTGTGCCAGAGTTGGCAGGGTAGTAAGTAATGTAGTAGCTTCTGGATTGAAATCCAGCCTTGCCTTACAAGTGATGGATAAAGCACTCTTGCTTGGTTAAGAAAAAGGCATTTTGATGCTGTAGGTATTTTCTCCCATCTATTATAGGTTACTGTGCATCAGAGCTTGCACAGGTTGCTGAGGCTGCATTTTTACACCGGTGTATATTTGGTTCCCTTTTACACACCTTTCCAAATAGCACTTTGACACCTACTTATGGCAGTGACTGTGGAAAGGAAAAGCAGGTTAAGAATTGCCAAGTTTTGAAAGTAGATTGTTTCTAAACGTGACTATGTGTTAATTGACGAGGCTGCAGGTGGTTTCTGTGAACTTTCGGCTCCCCCTTCTGTCCAAAATAAGTGAGAAAGGCTTGCTTGCTCCAAACATACAAAGGTAGTTTTAAAAATTTAAAACCAAGACTTTTGTAATGTGTTGGTTAATAGCTTCATTTTTCTTCATCCCTCTCTTCTCTCAAGTTGCCAGACCTCATTCCTCAGCTGGGAATGCTATACCAGTTAATGGAGAGCAGAGTAAAAACTTTGCAAAAGCTTTCCCGTCTGCATGGAAGACTTTTCATTCTTGTCACCCAGGTGAGTTCTAACTAAATGACCTGGGATGTGTAGAAGGAGGATTGTTTGCAGACATAACCTCCTATTGTCATTATGCCTGATGGGACCTGTCATCAGGAAGTTAATGCAGTTGCTGTGCAGCCATGCTGATAACACTCAAGGCAGTACGGTTAATTGACTTACCTAGTCAGTCACTGGAAGCGTTAAACATTTTTTTTCTTGCCAAATGGGTCTGCTAACCCAAAGGGGAATAAATAGGAGGTACTCGGCCACTTCAGAGCAGATGCCTCTAAAATTTTACTTTGGCCTTTGTATTTGTTAAACTACTATATAAATGAATTAATCTGTGTAAAACTTGATGTAGACTTCATTTACACTGTTAGGAGTTTTGTTGACTTTTAAGGTTAGAATATACGATTGCTCCTAAGGCTAATCTGTGAATTCCATTCAGGTTGCAGCGTCAGAAACAGTACACGATGTAACTGAGGTTAATCAGACTGCAAAGCTGGTATATGAGGATGGTAAGTGTTGCATGCCAGGTGTAGCTCAGCTCCTGAATTCATGTGACAGCTGATACTTAATGGCTGTTCATCGTGCTCCTGTGCTTATCTGTTAGTGTACAGTCTGCAAGTAGAGAGTTTCTGTGGGAAGTCCATTTCAGGAAAGTCAGTGTTTAATGATGTGGGCGCTTGTAGTTGGCTGGCTCCCCTCCCCTCCTTTGCTCCCCTCCCCT